ATAGATGCCTTTAAAATATGGATTTAAAACGTGTATAAATACACACAAATTGGCCACAACTCTTCGAACGCTCATAATGACTTTGGTCGCCAGCTTTCTTCACATGCACTCAAATATATAAACATCTCTTTCTCCAAAAGAAAAACATCAACACCTCTCTTAACATCTCACTGGATCAATATCAAGACATCCCAAAATAATGGTGCAGTACCAAGAACTCGCTATTCAGAGAAGCTTCAGCTGCACCACAAGAAAGATCGATCCAGCCACCTCTCTGGCGCATGGCTCTCATTCCCGCTCTCCTTCCTCCTTCGCTTTGATCCCAACCATCCCTGAACATGAACTCTTCCTCGTACCATGCCAAAGAACCTCCTCCTCCTCCTCGTCTTCTTCTTCTTCCTCAAGCAGCATCGTAAAAGTCAACTTGAAGCTTTCTTCCTTCTTACGTTCTATCATCAAACTCATTAACCTCCCCACTTGCAACTTCATGTCACTTCCTTCTCCACCATCTTCTTCCTCTAGCTTTTCTAACCAGCTGGTCTCACTAGTCACCGGTGGATCCTCTTCCCTAGGAAAAAAAGTCACCGGGACTTTGTACGGACACAGAAGAGGCCATGTCACGTTTTCAGTCCAGTACGGTCCGAGTTCCGACCCAGTGTTGCTCTTAGACCTTGCCATGTCAACGGCTTCTCTAGTCAAAGAGATGTCGTCAGGACTAGTCAGGATCGCGTTGGAGTGTGAGAAGCGTCACCGTTCGGGGACTAAACTTTTCCAAGAGCCTAAGTGGACCATGTATTGTAACGGGAAGAAGTGCGGTTACGCGGTGTCACGGGGCGGCGCGTGCACCGAGTCGGACTGGCGCGTGTTGAACACGGTATCTAGGGTTACGGTTGGAGCTGGAGTTATACCTACGGCGAAGAGTATTGATGACGTGTCAGGTGGTGGAAAGGAGCTAGGGGAGTTGTTGTATATGAGAGGTAGATTTGAACGAGTCGTTGGGAGCCGTGACTCGGAGGCGTTTTACATGATGAACCCGGATAAAAACGGAGGTCCTGAACTCAGTATCTTTCTTCTTAGAATATAAATAAATAAAAATGTTTTTGACTTATTAATAAAAATTAGGTGTCTATTCTACACATGCAGACATGATTATCTTACAAATATTTATTAATATAGAAATATTAACTCAAGCATTATAAACTACTAGTGGTTGAGCTCCGCGCTTGATTTTGTTTGTCATTGTTATTTTACTTTTGTAGTAGTGAACATGTCGACATATTCTTTTGTTTATCCATGTTCATCTTGGTTTCTCGAATTTGCATATGCATGGATGGAGTCATGGAGATGTAGTAGTTGGCATCATATATAAGAGAAGATGATTTTTTTTTTTGACCAGCAACACGGAAGATTTTTTTTACCATCCGTTGCTGGTCGGTTGATTCGTTGTAATGTTACTTTGGACTCACCGTGACCTAAACACTTTTCAGTTTATTTATTTCCCTGTATTTATTTGCTGATTAAGTTGTGAAATTTTAAACTTATTTTGTGTTCATAGGTGGTGTTATTTTGTTGTATACTTATAGCTGGTGTTATTTTATTTTGTGCTTGTATATTACCATCCGATGCAATATGAAATAAGAAGCACAGTAATGCTATATTTTTCTCTCCATATAGCTTATCCACCCTATCACATTTTTCTTATATTTTGTGAGACCCACAAAATATAAAGGTATAACTTATTTTATATCTTGATCAATGCACAATGAAACAAATGTTACTATTTAAATATCTTTAAGAAATTTGAGCTACTCGAATGACCTTCGGAAATCTTCTTTCGTGAAACAAAGGAGTATAGGTGGAGGGAGAAACATAATTTGCCAAATGCTAGATATGAAAACATATTGGAGTCATAGCCAACTATACAAAGAACTACTATTTTCCATAAAAGTTTAAGCTAAGTAGAAGAATTAGAAAGTCAAAAACTTGTTTTCATTCCAAGGATATTTTGTTCGTCTCCCGGCTTTGCTATATTGTTTGAGGGTTGGTAAAATCATACGTTTAAACTTCAATGATAATTTAGATGACGAAAAAGAAATCCCATTTCATATCTTTCTCTCAGATTTCTTTTATCATAAAACAAAAACTATCAAACCAAACATATGGAGAGAAGTCTGAAACATACATTACCTTTCTGATAATCTTTTTACATATAAGAGAACTCATAAGCTTAAATATGCTAAAGACATATCAAAAACAGTGTTGTCCTAAAGAAAATAACGAAGGGGAATTAAAGATAAGTCAAATATGAACCTACAATCATGGCAGGAAGCTTGGTGGTGACAAGGTGTAGGTTCTCCTCATCAGAAAGAAGCTTCAGCTTCTCTATTAGTCAATCAATAAAACTTGGTCATAAAATATACCATGAATGTTTATACTTTGAATAAACTAAGACACCATAAAAGCAAGAGTTATTAGCATCAGTGTCTAAGAGACCTTCAAAGAAGCATTCAGATTGGTTGGAAATCATATGTTTCTCTTCCATGTGATATGTCAAATCATATGAACAAATACCACTTTTCAATTCTTTTATTACAAACACTTACAAAAGTGAGATATATTGAGATCTTAAATTACACGATTTCCAGTTTCAACAAAAACAGATTATATATGCAACACCTCATCGAAACTGAAATCATTTTTATTGCGATTACGTATCAATACAAAGCCACCCCACTCAAACATGTAAAACAAAGATCATCGAACCCACCACAGCTGGGGAAGCCAGAGCATCGCCGTCAGGCACTGTTGGATGGAGGGTAACTTGCAGGGAGGAGAAAGTCAGAATGATGGTATCCGATGTTGGTCTCGTTGCTGGGGCGATGTTATTGTTAAGGTAGATGGGCTTCCAACCTAAAACTAATTGGTGATATGTGGACTGCCCCATGTATCTTATATACTAGATATGTGGACTGCCCCTTCGAGATGATGGTTCTTTGGCGTCAATCTTGAAATGTTCGGGCAAGGATCGATGGGCCATCTTCGGGGATCAGATTCCACAATCCACGCAAGTCCAACCCGATCATTATCGATCCATCCCAAAGTCCGCCCATCGATCCTTGCCCGAATATTCCAATCGAGATTGACGCCAAAGAGCCATCATCTCGAGGGGGCATATTAGGGACAAAGATCCCACATCGGAAGTTGGAAAGGATTCTATCTAGTATATAAGATCGATGGACCACTCTACTTATCACCAATTGTTTTTAGGTTCACCAATTGATTATAAATTGGAAACCCATCTACCTTAACAGTTATGGGACAACTAATAATGGATAGGGAAATGAAATAATTGAATGAGAGGAACGATCTTGATGTTTCGGTTGTAGAAGAATGTTAACATAATGATACAGTGAAAGGGCGCAGGCGGCAAGCCAAGCGTCGAGCGATGGAAAGGAAGAGAGAGGCATTGATTTGGATGGGCTATTTGAACTGGGTAGAGAACAAAACTAAATGGACTTTCTGAGTGGTTATTGTAATGAACATAAAATAAAATTGATCAACAACTTGATTACAATAAATTACACTTTTGACTTTTGTGGTTCCTACATAATAGGCTTGGGCATCCGGGTCCTCGGGTCGGGTCCTGTCGGGTCCGGGTCTTTCGGGTTTTGGAAATTTAGACCCATATGGGTACCTATGATTTTTCGGGTCGATTCCGGGTCGGGTCTTATCGGGTCCGGGTCGGTTCGGGTCTATAATTCCAATACCTGTAAAATACCCGTAATTTTCGGATCTATATAGGGTCCAGATCGGATCCGGTATTTAGAATCTAAAAACTACATAACATGTCCAAACTCACTCAAATTCAGTCAATATTTTTTCATATATATCTAAAATTTTATAAAATAACTTAAATTAAACTATTAATAATTAAAGAAAACTTTTGTAAACTCTAAAGTTTACATTTTAAAACTTTATATTACTTAAAAATGTTACAAATAATAATAAATATTGTTAACAAAAGATATTTCAACTAAATTATAAAATAGTATATATATATATAAAACATAACACAAAAATAATAGTTTTGGATATAGATGTTTATAAGTCGGGTACAAATCGGTTCTTATCGGGTCGGGTCTATTCGGGTCGGTTCTTTTCGGGTCCGGGTCTATTCGGGTCGGTTCTTTTCGGGTCCGAGTCTATTCGGGTAAAAGAAATTTAGATCCAATAGATACTTATAAATTTTCGGGTCGGGTATTTTCGGGTCGGTTCCGGTTCGGCTCCGGGTAAAATGCCCAGGCCTATTACATAATAAAGAGAAAATGGATGACGTGGATAGGTTAGATGGAGAGAAAATGTGGCATTATATATACTAGTATTGTGGATCCATGATTTGCATGAGCATAGTTGTCATACTTCATGCTTAATAATATTCTAAAATACTTGTATGAATCTAATTAAACAAAATACTTTTACAAATCTGAATACTTGTATAAAACGTACATATGCATTTCTTAGTTTCTATATGCTTAAGTAAATATGTTAGCAAAAACTACAAATGCATATGTATGTCTTACAGAATCGTTGTTATTAGTGGTACAAAGAGAAAAATTATGGAAAATTAAAATTTTATAATATGGCTGAAATAATGGGAAGTAAAAACAGTTGAAGTGATAGTGGAATTTTTTTATCGAAACCGTTTACACTGAAATAAATATAGAAAAATATATATTTTTAAAAATAAAAATCAAATGACACATGTTACTTACACAATTCACATGTCCTCACTTTTATTTTGTGATGCAATAAAAACATAACTACATACTCATACATTATCTTTTATTTCTTCTCTTTGCATATTACTGAAATTATTAGAGTTCACATCCATAAATCTCTACTCAAAACCAAAAAAAACATATATTTTTGATTTCCTTCTCCTACTATTGACCACTTTCATTAAAAAATCGAAGAATGAAATGGAAATAAACATACAATGAGATTCAGATACAAAGAAAATTGTATGAGATGGATTAGAGGTTTAGAGATCAAAGTGATGGAGCAATAATTAAAAGCCTTGTTAAATAACAATGTTTACACTTATGAAGCTCTGGATGGCATTCCTTGTATTCATCATAATCTTCATTGGTTTTGTCTGCCAAATTCATAAAAGAGTCAACTGCTATAAACCCACGATTCAGTATAAGAGATTGTAAACAATACTTACACTGAAGATTCCAAATAACCTTAATTTTTTTTATGAGATTGACAGTGATCTATCGAACAACCCCAATCTTTTTTTTTACAGAATCATTGTTGTTAGTGGTACGAAAAATAAAATTATGGTTAAAATATTGGAAAGTAAAATAGTTGAAGTGATAGTGGGAACAATTTTATCTAAAATATATATTTTGGAATAAATATAGAAAATATCTTTTAAAAATCAAAAGATACATGTCACTTAGGCAATTACCAAATTATTTCTGTTTTAATGTAAAAAAGATATGATTGAGATAGTGGTACGTAAACGCAGTTGAAGTGATAGTAGAAATATTTTTATCTACAAACATTTTTTTCTAAAATAAATAAAAATATCTTTTTAAAAATTCAAAGGATACATGTCACTCACACAATTTTCAAATTAGTATTGTGAAACACAAGCCAGTTGACAATCATGTGAATGACACATGTCCTTATTTTAAAAAAAATTAACAATGTATTTTCGGTGTTATTTTGTAAAAGGTTCATTATTATCATTTTTTATATATTTCACTATTAATGATTTCAGTTATTCAGCATGACTATTCTTCACTATCATACTCCCATAATCTCTTTGCATCTAAGGGGGTGATTGGTAGTTGCTGTAGGTTCTGCAGAGCCAAATATCCAAAGCGATTTTTTAGTGCTTTCCAAAAAATTTACAGCAATAAAATCTAAAGCCACAGCTAAAAGTCTACAGATTTTTTTCTACAGCAAAAACTTTAAAGCTACAGCCATTACCAATCAGACCCTAAATAAACAGAACCTCCAACTTTAAAGGATTAAGGATAATTGTAAATTGTCTTTTAAAGAAAATTATGGTTAAATAAAGTTTTATAATATGCCTCAGATAGTGGAAAGTAAAAACAGTTGAATTGATAATGAAAACAATTTTATGTAAAAATTTTCTGTAATAAATATAGAAAGATATCTTTAAAAAAAGATATCAAATAACACATGTCACTTACACAGTTAAAAATTAATTCTATTTTATTGTATTAAAAATATGGCTGAGATAGTAGTAAGTAAAAACAATCCAAGTGATAGTTGGAAATTTTTTATCTAAAATTTTTTTTTCTGAAATAACTATAGAAAAATATCTTTTCAAAAATTCAAATACACATGTCCCTCACACTGTTATTAAATTACTTTTGTTTTATTGTATAAAATATATGATTGAGATAGTGAGACGTAAAAACAGTTGAAGTGATAGTGGTAACAATTTTACCAAAAAAAAGTTTTCTGAAATAAATATAAAATTTTAAAAAATAAAATAAAATAACACATGTCACTCTCACAATTGTCAAATTTCTTTTGTTTTATTGTATAAAAATATGGTTGAGATATTGGGATGTAAAAACAATTGAAGTGATAAATGGTATTTTTTTTAATGTAAATATGTTTTTTCTGAAAAGAATATAGAAAATATCTTTAAAAAAAAAAATTCAAATACACATGTTACTCACAGAATTGTTAAATTACTTATCTTTTATTGTATAAAAGATATGGTTGAGAAAGTGGGATGTAAAAACAGTTGAAGTGATAGTGGTAACAATTTTATCTATAAATATTTTTTTCTGAAATAGATATAAAAATACATTTTTAAAAATCAAATGACACATATCAATCACATAATTTTTAAATTAATTATGTTTTATTGTATAAAAGATATGGTTGAGATAGTGGGACGTAAAAAAATTGAATTGATAGTGAGAACAATTTTATCTAAAAACATTTTTCTAAATAAATATAGAAAGATATCTTTAAGAAAAAAATCAAATGATAGTTGTCAATCAAACAATTGTCAAATTACTTCTGGATATGTTGGATGAAAAAACTTTCTAGTAATGTTGATTCATTTCTTCTATTGTCTTCACTTTAATTTGTAAACATTAGATTCTTTCTATTCTATTTGAAATATTTCTTATTTTAACAGTTCCTTCCACAAAATAGGAAATGAACAAAATCAGTCTATTATTTTTGTCTTTTTTTATTCTTTTCTGTAAAACCATACCATATATTATATAAAGGATTTACATTGAGTCTTAAAAGTAGGTTTTATGTGTGCTTATCTCTAAACTGGGGGGTGAGTGTCTAAGTCACAAAATGAAGAACGAGCCACCGTCTCTGGTTCCATCACTTCGCGACGACATTGTCCTTGACATCTTAGCGCGTGTACCAAGATGTTACTATCCAACTCTCTCCCTAGTGTCTACGCACTTCCGATCACTCGTTGTGTCCCCTGAGTTATACTCGAGAAGATCTTTGTTGAGTTGCAACGAAAACTGTTTGTACGTTTTAGTCAACAGTGAGGGGATCCCTAGTGACCGTTTGTATACTCTTCACCACAAAGCGTTGGTCCATATCTCTTCTCTTTCGGATATACCTATCTGTGAAAGCTTTGTGGCCGTGGGTTCGAGGATATACATGTTTGGTGATTACAGTGGTGACGTCTCATCGATTGCGTTTAGCATTGATTGTAGATCTCACACGTTGCAACGCCTCCCCAACATCCCTACACCCTTGGAGTTAACAGTTGCTGGCGTTATAGACGGTAAAATTTACGTTGTTGGACAGTGCCGTACGAAGTCAACGGTGATGATGGTTTTCGATACGAAAACACATATGTGGGAGGAGGGGCCTGGATTAATAAAGCCAGACATTTCGTCAGAGGAATGGGAGATTTCTTGTACGGTGGTGGTGATGGCTGAAAAGATTTACATTAGGTGTGGTCATGATAGCTTTGTCTACGTGCCAAAGGAAAGTAAATGGGAAACGGATGAGATGCTGGATTCTAAGGACTGGGATGGTGGTAGTCAATGCGTTGTTGATGACGTGTTGTACTACTACGATGATCATGAGGAATGTTTGAGAGCGTATGATCCTAAGCAGAAGTGCTGGGGAGTGGTGAAAGGTTTGGAAGGGTTGTTGGCTGAGATGGGACGTCTATATTGGTCAAAAACTGCGTGTTTCGGTCGGAAACTGGCTTTGTATTTTCGTAAAACAGGAGAAGAACCAAGTAAGATGTGGTGCGCTGAGATTTCGCTGGAGAAACGTCAAGGAGGAGAGATTTGGGGTACAATTGAGTGGTGTGATCAAGTTATAGATGCTGCTGGGCCATTTGATTTTAGAGTTTTTGTATCTGTTATGGTTTAATAATGCATGAACTCTCTTTTTTTTTTAATTTTCGTTTTTGTTTTTGCTAAGATGGACTCTCTTTAATAAATTGTGTTTTTTTTTTCAATTTAATTGTTATGTTCTGTTTCACCTGGATGTCTAAGATGAGTTTTCTTTTCGTTCACAGATTGTTTCTTGTTCTTTATTCATTATCTAGGAGAAATATATTTACAAAATTTGATTCTTTCTTTCTAGTAGGATCAGTGTAACTGAGGAAACATCTTACTAGTTAAAATGTATTTATGTTTGTGATCCAAAAAGATCGAGTGCTGAAGGAGAGCTAGTACAAGGCCAGTCTCTAGAAGTTTTGTATAGGATACGTGTTCATTATTGTGGTTTTGGTTTTGGATTTTCAGTTAGAGTAGAGATAAGACAAAGCCGTTACTACCTTCTCACACCCCAAGAGGTGTGGGACTGCGGATACGTAGCCAGAGGACTTGATATAAGCGAAACCTGCCCGAATCACTTCTTTTGGTTCCATGTATGTAATTAATCTCTATGTTTAGTGAAGAAATGAGGATTGTAATAATAAGCCTTTTGTATAAGTTGTTCTTTCAAGGAAAAGGTTTGTCGGATGAGTCCATTCAATTGGAAGAGATAATCCATCTCTGAAGCATTGCATAACAAGTAACTTTCACTTCTCTAGATAATACCAAGAACCCTCCATGAACTCGACTTAAAATCGTATATTCCATGCTTTACATTATTGTCAGAAACTACCAAGACTTTATGGTTCTTGTTGTTGTCGTGTCCAATAGCATACTGATCTGTTTTGATCCTATTATTTCTGAGTTCCATCCATCTGGTTTTAGCTAAATACGGGTTCCATACCACTAGACTGTCATTCTCACGTAAGCATAACAATAAGCCTTCACACTGATTGAGACGAATATGTAGTTAAGCTATCTTCTTTATAAATGTCATGTCTTTGATGTTATGAATTCTGTGGAGATTGAATCTTTTTCCAAAAAAATAACTGTCAAAATTCAAGAATATGGGAAACTCAGTATTTCTTTGTAAATCTCGCATCTTTGGATAGAGTGTTCCATCCTTTGCAAGTGCTGTTTTGAGATGTTATCGAGACCTTAGAAAGTATCTCCTCTACTAAATCCAGTGAAAGATCAGTGATCTTATAGTCTTTGTTTCTATATAGAAATTAATTAGGGTTTCTATCTCTTAGGTTTGCCCTCTATATTTACTTTTAGGGAAAATTCCATATAAATACTCCAACTAAATTTTATTAAGCTTTTTAATACCCAAACTTTTTCGCTACCCAGTTTAATACCCCAACTAATTATTTTGCCCATTTTAATGCACAAACTTTTATAAATGTGCCCATTTTAATACCCAAACTTTGTTTATTTTAATTAGTAATACGAATAAGTTTCCAATAAAATTTTAAAAATTTCTAAACTTTACCAAAAAAATTGATTTTATTATATGTTAGAGAAATGAAATTAAATAANTCGCTACCCAGTTTAATACCCCAACTAATTATTTTGCCCATTTTAATGCACAAACTTTTATAAATGTGCCCATTTTAATACCCAAACTTTGTTTATTTTAATTAGTAATACGAATAAGTTTCCAATAAAATTTTAAAAATTTCTAAACTTTACCAAAAAAATTGATTTTATTATATGTTAGAGAAATGAAATTAAATAAATTTTTTATAATCTTAAGTTTTGTAATAAGTTTTTTTAAGTTTTATATATTGAATTTAGTTTGTTTTCTGAAATAAAAAAGTAAATTATTATTTTTACCTTCAAAATTATTTTTTTAAACATTTAAATTTTCTCCAGAGTTTATTTACCTTCTTTCTTAAATCTTAGAGTAAACTTACAAATTTTAAATATTTTATCTTAGATTTGGAGATTTTTTTAAATTTTGTATGAAACTTATTAGTATTGTTAATTAAAATAGGGAAAATTCCATATAAATACCCCAACTAAATTCTATTAAGCTTTTTAATACCCAAACTTTTTCACTACCCAGTTTAATACCTCAACTAATTATTCTGCCCATTTTAATACACCAACTTTTATAACTATATCTATTTTAATACTCAAACTTTGTTTATTTTAATTAACAATACTAATAAATTTCAAACGAAATTTTAAAAAATCTCCAAAATCTAAGAAAAAATATTTAAATTTGCTAAGTTTATTTGAAGATTTAAGAAATAAGGTAAACAAACTCTGTAGAAAATTTAATGTTTTAAAAAAAAGTTTTGAAGGAAAAAAAAATAATTTACTTTTTATTTCAAAAAAACAAACTAAATTCAATATATAAAACTTAAAAAACTTATTACAAAACTTAAGATTATAAAAAAATTTATTTAATTTTGTTACTCAAACATATAATAAAATTAATTTTTTTCTGAAGTTTAGAAATTTTTAAAATTTCACTGGAAACTTATTAGTATTATTAATTAAAATAAACAAAGTTTGAGTATTAAAATGGATACAGTTATAAAAGTTGATGTATTAAAGTGGGCAGAATAATTAGTTGAGGTTTTAAACTGGGTAGTGAAAAAGTTTGGGTATTAAAAAGCTTAATAGAATTTAGTTGGGGTATTTATATGGAATTTTCCCATTAAAATAAACAAAGTTTGGGTATTAAAATGGGCACAATTATAAAAGTTTGTATATTAAAGTGGGCAAAATTATTAGTTGAGGTATTAAATTGGGTAGTGAAAAAGTTTGGGTATTAAAAAGCTTAATAAAATTTAGTTGGGGTATTTATATGGAATTTTCCCTTACTTTTATAAACAAATGTGTACGATTAAAAACTATTTTCCTTTTCCAATTTGATTTTCTACAGATTTAGAGTCAGTTTTAGTTATTTTTTATCGAAATATTACGAAGATAATAACACTGTTGCTGTTTTCTGTTTCTTTTTACATACATACTAAAAATGAAATATGTTTGGTACAAGCATTCTTTGCTATAATAATCACTAGGATTTGGACTCCCGCAGTTCGTTACACCTAGATTTGCACCTCTGCGTAGTTCACTTTTTAAAAGAATACACCTCACGGCGTATAGTTTTGCCATTGTGATGCTGCAGCAAAGCAAGATTCAGCAGAGATGATGATGGAGAATAAGCGTATTATGTCTTCTCTTGCATAGAACAGCATGAAATTACACAAGTCTGATCTTTCTTTCTCTTCCAAAGTCTTATTATGATGCTCTCTCAATCTTCAGAATCAGAATTCCTTTGTGGGATTAGTCTCTGGACCTAGAAAGTCTTTAGGATCTCCACGGTTATAAAAAAAAAAAAATCTTTTTGGTTCTGTGGTTTAAACAGGACAAGGTTGGAGAACGTATTTCAGCTCTTCAACAACTAGTTTCCCCTTATGGAAAGGTACTACTATTAGCTCGAACATTCTTTCTCAAGCAATAGAAATGATCATGAACGTGTTCAAGTTTCTTTCTCTCTCTGTGTGCAGTGCAGACCAACACTGCATCAGTTCTTCAAGAGGCAATGCAGTACATTCAGTTTCTTCACGAACAAGTACAGATTCTAACCGCTCCGTATCTACAAACAACACCCACTACTACGCACGTAATCTAATTCTCTTTTTACTAAGACTAATAGCTTCAAAATCTGTGATCTAGATTCAAACATCCCTTGTTTGTTTCTGTAAGCAGAATCAGTATTTTCTAAGAGGGTTATGTCTTGTCCTAGTAGAATAAACATTAATTAGGGGTTGCTCAACCAATGGTGCTAATATCTGGACTCCTATATGAAGACTCCAAAGTTAATTCCCCCTTTCATCATTGCTCTGTCTCAAATGAAAGATAGCCAAATGGTTATGTCTGATGATGTATCTATGTAACATATATTGGTGGAGAGACACAACGAAGGTAAGTCAGTGATGGCTGTTTCTGTTATTTTTACTTTCCTAAACTCCCAACTCTGTGGTGGGGTGAATGCATAATCATATCATTACTTGGATTTGTATAATTGGTCTACGTTGATAGTAATGGAAAGTTCGTTACTGGGAAAATAGCTTGAGACAGAATTCAGAAACCGGTTAACAACGGATATATAGTTTACGGTTTATATAGGTTAATGAACAGTTTTGTATGCGGTAGAAGACTGGCTTAGACAAACCCGGTTCAAACCCCGATTTGTTTGCGACTCTTAAAACGCCATTGCTCTTCATAATTTTTTTTTAATAATGTCCCATATACATGTAAAATTATTGTATAAAATCGGGATATCCTAAGCTGTCGGTTCCTTTTCCTATGCCCCGGACCAGACCTGGCTAATACCTTAAGCTTTTTAAACCAAAAAAATAAGGTAATCAGAAAAATTTGATGAAAAAAAAAGTAATCAGAAAACAGAAGAACTTAATGCAGCTGTTTAGTCTTAGCTTTCTCCTGTCTAAAATCACATCAGCTTCACCATCCAGGTATATATAATATACATTAATACATACATATCTTAATCTCTGATAGTGTTTCCAAAAAAAAAAAGCTTAATCTCTGATATCTGTATCACTGTGTGTGTCTGTGTGAGCTCATCATCCTTCCATACTGTATTTATTTAGCCTTTTTGATTAACAACTTAAGATTCTCGATATGAAATCCTTAGTTGGATTTAAAGTGAAATTCGAAGTCAAATTTCTAAAAAGCCGTTACCTTTAGTTTGATATAAAAAAGGTTATCTCTCCTCGGTTAGTTTCCATGAAACTAAAATTAGTATTGGATTGAAGAATTTAATTGATTTTAAGAGAATTTATCCGAACATATAAGTAAAATCTTTCAATTGATTCTAAAGGATTTTATGTGAATTTTAATATATTTATCTAATTATTTTAAAAGAATTCAAATAGTTTAGGGGGTTTATCCATTACAACATGAATTATATCACAACATGAATTATAAAATATATTTTATTTTTCGTCCAAATGATAACATATGTTTAAATTTATAATGAAAATTACATTTCCATATTTGTCTTTTATTATC